CATCATCAAAAGGTCTTGGCATTGAAAAATCTGACTCAAAGGCAAGCAGCATTACATGGAGGAGCAATCACTTAATTTTTTTTCTGTGCTATTATTCTATTAATCTTTTTCTCTTAGGCCTTTTTAAGTGGACTGTTTAATATTCTCAGAAATGTTTCTTAGTATTCAGCAATTCATTCACGGCAAACAATGTAGAGCTATCATTTTCCATATTCTGAATGAACTAAGATACTGGCTCAAGCACTTAATTAAATCTTACATCTGCAATCTCTTTTGCAGAATACTTGGGTGGGAGGCAGCGGTGGCCAATCCCAAAGTGGTGGCATAGGGTGGTGAATGGCAGCGGCAGCCGCCACATGCAAACTTCCCCCTTTGGATCTGGGAGGGCAGATGGCGTGGTGACCAGTCCCAGAGTTGCAGTGGGGGAAGTGCCAGATTTTTTTATAATACCAGATTTTTGCTATCTGGTTTTATGAGGTTATACTGTATCAAAGCTCAAAGAGCTTTCATAATAGTTGCAGAGGTCAGTCAGATCAGAGAATCTCCTGCAGAGCCAATTTACTGATTATATTTTCAAACCAGCCAGAAATCTCTATCAACGTCAGTTGTGGAGTTGCGTCTTCGGGACCTTTTGATTCTCAGATCAATACCCATTATTATGATGGGTTGCATTAATGTTCCCAGAAAGGGCCTGTTCCACTCAGCCTTGCTCTATGGACACAGTGTGCTCACATGGTTAAAACTTGCTTCTGATGCTGTAAAAGAACAGATCTAAAAGCTGGCCAAGAAAAGTCCAAGTTAATCAGAAAATAGGTGTTTTGTCACTGGCAACAAAATTTTGAGGGTCCTTAAATTCAAAGGATTTCCCCCATATTTTAATTAATGGTCAGAAAAATGTTCCATTGTTTCCTATATGCTGGTATTGGTGGTGGGGGAGTTCAGAATAAAATAGTAATAATATGAAGGCAGGTTCAAATTCTGAGAGGCTCCACATAAATCTTAAGCAGCATTAACAGGCACTGCAAGCTTGTGAAGAGTATCTGTACCTCCACACATGCCACAGGTATCCAGCAAACTAAACCAAGGGCTTGGTATTCTATAAATGTTAGAAGTGAAAAATATGCAGATATTCAAAAAAATATGCATCTAGGTAGCCCGTTTATATAGCATAAAGAGTAAATGACAAAAACAAGGTAGATTACACATCTATAAGCAGGGATCTGGGTTTTCTGTTTCCCAAAGAAAAAAGGAATAAACCATGGATTTTACTTTTTACTGGAGGCAAATGTGGATTTCTCATTTTACTAGAAAAACCCTCAGATTTTGCAGTTTTCCAACAAGCTCCCTGCAGGCTGGCAGAGAGCAGGAGGAGGGCAGTAAAGCAGGGGGTGCCATGTGTACTGGGGCTCTACCAAACAGATCTGGAGCTGGGCACAGACCCAGGGGCTCATACCCCTCGGGAAGGCTGCTGGCCTGAGCCGGACTCCTCCCGGGGGTGTGAGCCCCATGTATCTGTGTGCTGGATGAGAGGAGGCTACTGCCTGGGACTGGCACTGAAGCCAAGTAAGCCCAGCTTTGAAAGTTGAAATGTTTTGAGTGCCCTCGTTTCATTTTGAAGCTGTTTCACATCCTTTTGTTTTGTGTTAATTTCACTGCCTCAAGTTTGAAACGTGTTGAAACAGCTTCAGAATGAAATACCCCATGAAATTTCACACAGCCCTAATGTGCATGTACATGCACATGGCCCCAGGCAGCCTGGAAAGTGGCTCCTGCAGGTAAGCTGGGGGAGGGGTGACTGAGGCCCCCAAAGGGAGGGAGGGAGGGAGTTGGGCAGAGCTGGGGCTGCTGCCCAGTTGGACAGTGCCTGGGGCTGGAATGATTAAAAGGAAGCTCCCTCCTTTTAACTGAGGCTCCATCTTTAACTAAGAATTTAGCTTTTGAAAAAGAAATTTGTAAGCTTATCTCCAAGTTTACTGAGTACTATCAGATGATCCTAGAAGAAAAAAGGTGAGATCTGGCCCTAAGAAACCACAAGATCTGGTAAGAAGTTATGATTGGACCTTATACTTTCACAAAACATGGTTGAAGCTACAGAAGTAAGAAATGAATTTTGTAAGACATTTCAAGTACAAGAATTCTACAAGTTTCAAAACAGAACTCACCAGGAATCTTTGGGGAGGAAAGGGAGGAGCAGAATTTAATTAGCAGAGTTTTACTGCACAAAAGGAAGGATAAAAATTACTATTTGCTTTATCTCTGTGCTCTGCAGGAGTGGTGAAGGTGCAAAGTTTTCTTGTTTTTTTAAACACAATATGGATAACCTAAGACAGCAGTCCTCAACCTTTTTAGAGTCAAGGCAGTCATTGGAAAATGTCAGCTCTTTTTTTTTTTTTTTTTTACTACAGAAAAATACAGCAATTCTTTTGTTGCAAAGAAATGCGAAAGACCACAACAGGTCAGAATATTTCTGGCACTATAAATTCCTATTTAAAGTCTTTGGGTTTTTCTTGTGGATACTGTTTGCATACTGAACATTGCTAACATTTTGTGGTAACTCACAGCACCCTTAAAAGGATCTCAAAACACCCACAGGGTACGGAGAAACCCTGGTTGAGGATCATGGACCTAAGGCAACTTTAAAGTCCAACAATTTTAACTCAAGTGAGTGCTTTAAAAGAATTTAAACTTCTGCATCTTTACCTTAACATGCCTCTGTATTGATTTTCTCTTTTTTGTTGTTTTCTTTTCCTTTTTTTTTGTTATACAGGAGATGTAAAGTGAGCCATTTTACCTAGGTTTATCATTCAGGAGAAATCATTCTGAAGGATCACATAGAGCAAGAGGAAATGAAAACCATGACCAGGTATGATATGGTAAAACTCCAAATATCTTGTCAAACAATCACATTTCAAAGCAACTTACAAATGCAACTAGTATGCCATGAACAAATACCAACCATCTTCCCACATTTTTCGAAGGTGTTCTGGAAAAGCTCTGTCCATCCTGTAAGTCAAAATGTCCCCATGAACAATGCGCACTTTTCCTGGAGCTGCTTCAGACAGCATCTATTTGTTGGTAAGCAAGAAGAATTCATTTAGTTAGTACCTACAAATTTTGGCAACTTTCTAAACATATTGATGATACTCTCCCCTAGCCTTAGTGGAGTTAAACCAGGCATGAACCTGAACTAACATTTTTATCCTCAAATCCAGAAGCGTAACTGGGTGCTTGAACACCCTAGATAGCAGCCACATACACAGCAATGTCAGTAGCTGTGCTGACACCAGTGCAGCAGCAGAAATGCCTGCAGCACATAAAGGTGAGTATTTTCTCTGACCTGTATAAACATCTAACTCACTAGAGTGTACTGCAAAATCAGAGATAAGCCTTTTTAATATGTAGGGTCAAATTTTACTCTCGTATATCCATATAGTCTACCAACATCAATGGTATTTGCATGTTCGCATTCGATTTGAGGACAATTTTTGCTCTTATCCTCTATTGTTGTCTTTCAGGTTTGCAATGTTGCCAGAACCCAGCTTCAGTTTTATGATGCAGAAATCACAGACACAGCCTAAAAAGAATTTAGTAAAAATGCAGAGTGCTTTAAATGTCAGTAATTTTACACATACATAAAAAGCTCATTTAAATAACAGTCCCCAATTGTTATTTTAATAGCTGACATTTTCCATTATTCAAATTCCAATCCTTTTATGTCCATCTATTCTAGATTGAGACTGAGACCTTTTAATGGAAAGCTAGAGAAAAATAGATGTTATGACCCATATTATCAAAGAAGAATGTAATCTATAATTCATCGTATTATTGGGGAAATAGTACGCAAAACTAAAATTAATACTAATATATGCAATATACTGTTTGCTTATTAATATTCTGCTTTTGAATGGCAACACAGTGAATAGCTTGGATAGGGGCATATTGATTTCTGTTGTGAAGGGCTTGCTAATGAAAAACAATGACTTGTTTGCTAGAATGAAAAATAGAAATCAGTATGTCTAAAGTATATTATCAGAATTATGTAAATGCATCACTTTCAGGATCAGGAATCTGTGTTGGTGCTTTTTTTGGCTATCCAAGTCAAGTGTCCTCCAAGTTTTAAAAATATTTTGATTAAATAAAACCAGTGTTTTCTCCATTTATTTCCAATGGTAATTCTTAAAATCGTAAATAATATGGGCAAACCTATCATCATGATGGAAAGATTAAACAGACCTGATCAGGTTGTCAAGATCTCCCTGGGCAATGGGTCAGATCTGGACCACAGGGACCCCTCCCGAGTGGATCCATGAGGCCGGCAGCAACTGCAGTGGGGCCACGTTCAGAAGGCACCACAGACTGGCGGCCTGCCACCAATGTCCGCCAGACCCCAAGGACTGCAAATTCTGCAGAAGACCACCCTCCTCCCAACTTCCAGCACCCTGCTGAACTACTGGTGGGCCAGATCTTATAGTTCCACAGGCTGAATGCAGCCTGTGGGCCATGTTTGACATCCCTGCTATACAGCATTAGGCTGTGATTATGCACAAATGCTATTACACTGTAACAGGGATCCAGAGGGGTCCTGTTACTTTAACAGAAGACTGTAGCAGGCTGAGCTTGCTCTGGGAGAGCTAGCAGCAAGAACTAAGGCTCACTGCAAGTAAGCCAACCACCAAATAGGCTGACCTGTAGCCACACAGGTAGCAGCTACCCCTGGGGGAATAACTCTCCCAGGAGACAGTTGCAGAGCAGTAAGCTGCAACAGGGCAGGCATATAGGCAGCTCAGAAGCACAGAGCTGTAGGCATCTGGGCTAAGCCACAACAGAGAAAGCAGACTGGTCAACAAGTCCTGAATGGAAACCCCTGAGTGGAAAGCTCCCTGACAGGAAGGGGCAGGACTTAGGAAGCACAAAGCCAGTGCCTGAGAACAGGCAAGCAGTTTGGCTCTGCAGGCAGCAAGAAGAGCTCTGCAGTTGACTTATTTGAGCTGCCCTGGGAACTATAAGCAAAGAGCCAAGAGCCTGTAGGGAGGCCGGACCTGGGATGAGAATGGTTTGTTATACAGCCAGCAGGCTTAGAGTTTTGTTTCAGCCAGTGTGCTTTATCTTTTGTTATGATTTAGACCAGTGGACTAGAAGTGACTAACAGGGGAGGGGGAGCTCACAAGGTGCTCGAAGGATATGTGGGGTTTTGAGCCCTGCCACGAGCCAGGCTCAAGGCAATGACAGGCAGCAACTGAAAAGCATTAAAAGCCTAAGCCTGGGAAAGTGGTAGAGGGGGCCTGAAGCTGGGAGGGTTAAGGCCATAACCCAAGAGGGTGAGAAACAGGGGCAAGGGCCCAAAGCCCAAGACAGGTGAAACTAGAGCCTGAGTGGGCAAGACTAGGGCTAGAGTCCAGAAGCCATGTGCAGTGCAGTGGACCTAGGCAAAAGCGGCCAATTAGAGCAGAAAGGTGAAAGCTGGGATGGCCAAGGCCCTAACAAGGGTGCAGAAGCCTGGGGTGGCTTGGCATTAGTCTGGAGCAAAGTGGAAGGACAGGGATAAGCAGCGTTTGGGAGGAACCCATAAATGGGTAGCAGACACAGGCTCACTCTGAGACCCTGTGGGAAGCCTCCCTTTTTCCCCACTCAATTATCAGCAAGGCACAGCAGGAAGGGGGACAAAAATGGGAAGGTACCTGGTAAGCCAAAGCAGGACTGGAATTGTGAGGCCACCAGCAGGTATCATGGCCATCTTGCAGCTCAGTCCTACTACATACACATTTAACTGTGCATTTTTGCGGTCACAATGATGTCCTACAGATTAGCAGACAAAAGGCCTGCAGACAGATGCCAAAGGTCCTTAAATGGAGAGTAAAAGTTGCTGTTGACTCACTGTGGGAGATGTAACTTGTTAAATCTAATCTTTAAGAGAGGTGAAAGAATTCTCTGAACACAGAGAACTAAAACTTGGTTCCATGAAATCCTAAAAGAGAGAGAACCAAGTCTGAAGAAAACTTGTTCAAAAATCCATATGCTGTTAGATTGGATTACTTTGTGACTAAGGTCAAATTCCATGGAAGAGGCAAGTTTAACCTCCTAAATCATCCGAGTACCCTGCTTAAGGAGACCACCTATTTGCACATCTCAGCATCTCTTAAAGGCTGCTTGTGTGTAGAAAACCCTCAAAACGGCATTTAACTTACTTTAAACTCAGTGTGTTCCCAAGTCCAGCCCTCTGCATGCCCAGAAGAGGCATTGCTTTAGTTGGACCCAGCATGCCTGACTTCTGTAAAGATCAGGTACTTTAGTGGGGCTTTTTTTTGGTGCTTTTTTCTAATAGCCAATTGAATCAGCTTTAGCTAAAGGTGCCAAAAAGCCCCTCTGAAGTGCCTGATCTTTACAGATGCTTCAGACCCAGGTCCAACTAGAGCACCGCTGCTTCTGGTAAAGTGTATTTTGGTTTCTGCTCCCACCTGCAAACAGCCCAAGTCAGTCTAGACCTGAATTATAGATTACAAACTGAATAACACACCTGAAAATGTTAAATGCATGCCTTCAAGCTGTACTTAGAATTTTCTTTGAACTTGAGATCAAAAAATGTATTTTGTAAATTACTAAAAATGAATGTATGCTAAAGTTTCCATGGACATAAAAATACACAATTCTTATAAATGTAAAGTGGGATCATTATTGTTAAAATTAAAAATAAAGGCTAACAGGAATGGAAGAAATAAAGCCTTAATGCTACATATGAATCTTCTTATACCAGTGGTCTCCAAACTTTTTGGGCAAATCACTTTTTGAATTAAAAAACAACCCAAAAGCTACTGTGTGCCACCACCTGCTATGTGTCCTCCCACCCCCCCGGTCAGTGTGGGGAGGGAAGCGGGGAGAAGACTGAGAAAAAAAATCATTTGGGGGTATGTCCCCCCAGCAGGTAAGTCTGTGGGGAAGAGGCAGGGGAGAGAGGAAAGGGCTGTAGGGGGGACAGGGCAGACTGAGGCTTCAGCAGTGAGGGAGAGAGTGGGGCACAGGCAGGAGCAGGGGCTGGGGAGAGTGGGGCCCTGGCTGGGCTGGGTAGTGGCGCTTGCCCACCAGACCTCTGCTTGTCCCCCCACTTCCCCCAGCCCCTTTTCCTGACTGTGCCCTGCTCCCTCCTTCCCTGCAGCCTTCCAGCCCTAGCCTGCAGCAGCAGCCCCCCCTCCCCACAGGCCCTCGGGGGGGGGGAGGGAAGGCTGTGCTGGGATCTTCTCTGTGGGGCGTGGGGCTTGGGCCAGGCTGTGCTGGGATCTTCCCAGTGGGGCTTGGGCCGTGCTGCACTTGGGGCAGGCGGCAGCTGCACTGGGAGGGAGGAAGGGGAGCTACGGCAAGTTTTTTGGGTGGCTGCAGCCCCATAGTCCTGCTCTCAGTGCTGCTGCCCGGCCCAAACACAGCATGGCCTAACACCCACACTGGGAAGAACCCAGCGCTGCCCTGGCACCAGCCCACCTCACCTGCAGATCTGGAAATATGCACCTGCCAAGCTCCCCCAGGCTGCATGCCTCCCCTTCCCATCGCCCCCCTCCAGATGAGCTACTTGCAGTTCCTTCCCGCATCTTGCCTTGGCTGTGCAGGGCCTGCCCCTGCCCCACTCCGTCACTGCTGCTGCAGCTGCCCGTGCTGGCCTGCATTAGTGGGGGGGGACACATGCCCCCTTCATCTGTGTGCAGTGGAGGCAGCTGCCGTTGAGGCCTGTGCTTTGCAAACCAAGCCCTGCTGCAGCTGGCCCAGGAGCGTTCCGACACCAACATGCATCCATCACTAGGCATGCAGGGGACAAGGCTCAGCCCAGCAGCAGGACACACTTGGCATCGAGCCGCTCCCAGGCCACCTGCAGTGGGGCCTGGGGCGAAAAATCCAGCTCAACAGCAATCACTTCTGCCATGCACAGATTGGGAGAGCACATGCTCAGTGCCCCCCAGGCTCAGATCGGCTGCAAGAGGTTCCCTGATTGACTGGAATCTACCAGTTGGTGCCCACAAATTATTTTTTGGGTATAGGACAGTGGATTCATGTGGATTAATTTGTGTATTAATCTGGATTAATTATCCATGCCCAGTAAATTTAACAAGATGCATACAGCTACACCTTGCACTTTCTTATTTGGTTTAAATAATGTTGCATTGTGTCAGTGAGACAAATAAATTTACAGATGTCCATGGAAAATGCTTAGATTCAACAGTCCTTGTGCATGCAATTGTAACAGTACTTGAATATCCTGGACCTTTTTTTTTTTTGCTAATACAGGATGGATCTTAGATCTAGCTACTCTTATCTGAATAAAGCTGCAGCATCAAACTCTGTGTTCTGATCTTTGCAAAATGATTAGATGTACAGAAATGTCATTACAATGCCAATTAGAGGCAAAGGATACCATCTGATATGACGCATGAAGTAGCTTTTAAATCTCAAATTCTTAAAAGGATATTTGTATAAGTCAGTATTACAATTAATAGGTAGTACATCCAATCAAACAATCAGATAAATGAATGTGCTCCAGCCTGGCAGCAAACCTAAGTCAGATAAGAGAACAATAGGAAAAAGTATGTGTGATGTAAATTGCCGAATTACAAACAGTTTTATAGATGTGGATGATTTCTTCAACTATGTAAGAGCAAAAAGAACACTTAACTACTTAGAAGTGTTTTAGCCTATTAAATGTTTTTCACATACGTTAATTCCATACACATTATTCTGTGTTTGATACCTGTAGTCCTGGAATAAAGCGAGTATCTTTTTCCACCAACAAGAGCTGTGCAACATCGGCGTTAAGAATGGATCTCGTAATCCCACCTGGCCCAGGGCCCACCTCACACACATGGGCATCTTTCAAATTGCCAGCCTGTCTCACTATCTTATCTGTCAGTCACAAAAAAAACCCAAACAACAACAAATAAACAAACAAACAAACACATAAAAAGCATTTTTAAAAGGCATCCAGCACACCAAGATAGAGACAGCTGCATCTTTAACAATAAACAATTATTTCAGAATATAAACAAACAATAAAACAAACATCTTGGTTATTAAATGAGCAGATTATTGCCATGTATGGAAACTGCTAGATTTCACAGAATTCAATTTCACTTTAGGATTATCAAATAAACACAGAACTTCTACAGTAAGTCCTTACCATACATTGTTAGTTGCAGAGTCAGTTTTAAAATGTTAAGAGAAAATTTTCCTTTATAATCAAATAATACTGTCTTATTTTTTAGTATGCATTTGCTATGGCACTATTCCAGAACGTGCCAAACTTCATTAAACTGAGCCAGTTCCAACAAAAAACTTAAGGGAAAAGGACTGAGATGCGAGTAGATATCCAGAAAGCTCTAACCTCAGGAGAAGGGACAACAGAGGCCTGGAAGAGTTAGGGCAGAAGGGACTGGTGGCCACTAGGAACAGGAGTCAGACTAATTCAGACAGGCAAAAACCTTTGTAAACAAGAGTTTACTTCATTAGATGCTATAAGAGGACTTGCAGGGTTAACAAGGTTACAGTTAACTCACTAAATGGAGAAGTCATGAGGAAACAGACACAGCAAGGAGGAGGGAGATTATGCAGATGATAAAAAACCATCAGATTTTTAGGGCTTGTTTACCAATGCAGCGGTTCCTGATTAACAATATACATTGACATTCTTATTCCAAATAAAGTTATTTAAAGAGCTACTTCATTTTTAATTCACACCCTCCCTTAAAATGCTCTATTTTCAGATGTAAACAAGTCCTTAACATTCTCACACCTGCTTTATTCAACTGTGTAGAAAATTATCACTACTTCTGCAGGGGGAGTGGGGAGGCATACATACAAACTGGAACCAGCAACCACAGCCACCTGACCCAAGACTGATATGAAGCAGGAAACAGTACAATTTAACCAGGGTAATAAAGGGGCTCAGAACACCACGACATTCACAACAAACTGGTATAGACAGTCTTCCTATTAAAACTATGCTGTCAGGTAAACTGTAAATAAAAACACAGTACTGTCTCCCCTGTATGAAAAAAAAAAAAATCACCTTCATATGAACACCTGTGTTTGCCTTAATAGTAAGTTATCCAATTACTTGCTTCCCTCTATACTTTATGATAATTTTAAAGCAAGATTATGTTCCTCCTTTCAGGTACACAGACTTTCCTCCTCTACTCCACCCTGTTCAACTTCTATAAAAACTGTTCTACCACTTGCTGCTTTTTGCGATTCATTCTTCAGGGTAAAAATCACAATGTGTTACAAAAAATCAATGTATTAATGCATTTTCAGGACTTGAACAAGGTGAAACATAATTCTACATATACAGATGCATAAATCCACTAACATGCAGTTAGGCTGGAGCAGGCAAGGTTATAATAGTTGGGCTGGTCTGGAGTCCAGCCCCAAGTACAGCTAGTATCATGCAGGGTCTGGTCACAGTTCCACACTTAACTCTGAGCTGAATTCAATTTGTTCATTATGTATGGATACACAATTTCTTCCCCTTTCCACCCAAAATTAGAGCAGTTATTCTGCATACAAAGAATTTACAAGTCCATTACCTTGTTTAAAAAATATTTTTAACAAGTTCTTAAAATATTTACCAGGGCACTGTTGGGAGAGAGGTTAAGTGTCCCCATACAAACATAACACAGGCAAAGACTGCTCCGTGATGACAACTGTAGGTCAGTTTAGGACTAAACATTTAACAGACGCAAGAGAAAATTCCCCACCTGTTAATTTCAAATTCAGCAGAAAATTCTGAGAGAGCTGCTTTTTTGCCCGAAGGCAAAAGAGTTTAATAATCTCTCCAATAGTTGGCAGAGGCGGTAGATGACCAGCAGACACCATTCCTGAAGCAGCCGTTGGTCAAAATTGTTACTTCTTCTCCCTAATCAATGAAAGAGGGCTGGCTGTGAACAAGCATCTAGTAGCCTAAAATTAAAACTTTTAGGGAAAATTAATTTCTTGTTTTTTATTAAAGGAAACCATTGCTTTAGAAACATATAACATAATACAAGTACATTTTTTTCAAGTAAAACTTTCATCCTGCATATACTTACATAGGCCAGTAGGGTAAACTCACTTGGTCCTGTGGAGAGATCCTTGTGAGCTGGATCACAAGGCAGTGGGGCAAATGACAACCATAGCAGGGTAAGCAGCAGCAGCAGTTAACACAGACATCAGCCATCCTCTCTGCTGTCAACACACTCCCCCAAAGGGGCTGTATACCCCAGGTTTTGGCAGCAGGCTCTACCCATGCTCACCCTGACTCTGAATTCACAGCCCCTTCAAAAACCCCATGGATCATATGTATAATACTCATGAAGACGCTTCATTTTAAACAGGAATTGCTTCATTAACCATAGAAACTCTCCTGACTTGTTAAAGCTAAACATTTTGGTGCTCCCAGATGTAAAAAACAAAACAAAACAAACCCACACTTTATACTCTGTATGCTTCTGCGCCAAGCCCAGCGTATGCTCAAAAAAGGCACTGCATTAGTTGGACCTAGCTCACCCATCCATATAGATCAGGTGCTTTGGTGGGCCTTTTTCCACACTTTTAAAGATGAATCAGCTTTAGATACAAGCACCAAAAAGCCCTGCTGAAGTGCTGGATCTATACAGACGCTGAGGAGACAGGTTGAACTAACGCACTGATTCTTCTGGTAAAGTGTGATTTGTTTGTTTTTAACGCCTGTAAGCAGCCATTATGCATTTGCAAAATTCAAGCATTAGCCTCACATGGCCTGGTCAAACAACAGAATTTAAACTGAAGTCCTCTTATCTTCCCCCCTCCCTCCAAAACCTATTAAGACTGATTCATACCATTTAATTCCAAGTTTTACTGAATTGTTGCAAGTTAGACTGAAGGGTACAGTTGGCCTAAATTTACAAAAGTTGTATACAGCAGGAGTATGTATTTGTATTAATTTCTCTAACAATTATTAAAAGGAGGCCTATTTTCTCTTCTTCCTAGAGCATCAAGTGTAGTGATGAATGAGACAGACAGAGAAGTCCAATTACCATATTTCACAATAGTAGCCACATGTGCTCTTTCCTCTCATCCTAAAGATGATGCAAGGAAAGACTCCAGTCATCACCCCTTTCATGACTGTCACAAGCTACAGATTCCAGTACAAAAGGTACAATATTGTGGGCTGAGGCCTCGCACTCCAAGCATGCAATGACCCCTTCCAATTTGAAGGATCACGGGGAACAAAGATGTCCCAAGGAGCAAGAGCCCATCACGAGTCAGGCAGCTGGATGCATTATGGTGGGACTCACAGCCTCCAAGCAGAATACTTGCCTCCATACTGATGGCATCTGTAGCAATTTGCTTCAGTGGCCCCTGACAGATGTTAAAATTATGTCTCATGGGATCTGATCCCCTGGGGCTTTGGGGACCAACACTATAGCTGCCTTGCCCTGCAATTCCTGTGCAGCAAATGTGTTAGGTTTCCTTAAGATGCCAGGCACATGGATTGTAAGGTCCCATTAGCAGGGTAGGAGAGGGATCTCCCTTGCAACCCATGTGCCCAGCACCCCATTGTCAGTATTAGGATTGCACAGCCCCCAGCCAGGTTCCAGGTCCCCCAAGTCCTGAGGCTGAGAATCAGCTGATTGCTAGCACTGGGATGGGGCACCCTGCATCAGGGACATGCCCTATGTCCCATTTCTAACACCCTGTAAACTAGCCAAAGCGTGATGTGTGGCACGCTTTGTGGCTGGTTTGCCGGTTCCTAGCAGATGCTGTGGCATGTTACCCATCTGTGGCACCATCATCCCAGCAACTGTGCCATAGATGCGATGTCTCCCAGGGGCCAGCCTGCAAGGTTTGCAGTCAGCCTCAGGCCTTACAGGTGCACAAGGGGGAAGGATATCTGCTTCCTATGGCCTCACTCAGTCCCCAGGGCTTTTCTTCAGGAATCAGCCAAGTGTTACCATGGCCAGCTCTGGACCAGCATTGCCAGGCTTTATACATGAAATCATTATATTGGAAGCTCAAATTATCATATGTGCTGAAAAACTGTTGTACACTGAAAAAAAAGGTATGCAAATAAGTATGCAAATAAGTCATCTTACTTTATATTGCTCATTGTAAGACTCCAGTGAGTGGGAGCTGGGGCAAAGTTGAGGCATTTCTTTATTTTGAGGCAAGCAGTCATAAAAAAGTACTGACAGCAAACCTAGAAGCCAGTTAAGACTCCCTTTGCATTTGCTGCATCAATTAAATGCCTCAAAAAATATTAGCAGACAAAGTTCTTTGGGTAGACATTACATCTGTTATCAGGCTAACTAAATAATTGGAAAAAAAACCCAACTGTTCTTTGCAAGCTTTCCGGCACAAAAACCCTTCTTTGGGCTGAAGGAGGGCGTTCATGCCCAAAAGCTTGCAAAGAACATTTTTCCCCCCAACTATTTAGTTGGCTTAATAACATATCACACCTACCCAAAGGACCTCGTCTGCCTGTGTCCTGTGACTAACATGGCTACAACCAACAACTCTCAAAAATGATTGTACATTTTGAACACTTTTAGCATTATCTATTGTATAATGTGTAAGGGTTGCAATTATTGTACAAATACGATAAATGCTGTACACATGGCATCGTGAGCCCAGATCCCAGTGCCTCTTAGCTCAAAGAGGGGCCTGCGGAGGAGCAGGGCGGGGAAGGGCAGCACTGGAGCCCGAGGCTCCCCTCCCCCACCGCAAGCGCTCATTGCACGTTTGAAGTCCCGCCCTACGCCCCAATGGTTCCGCGGGGAGGGGGTTACCTCTGCGCACGCGCAGAACTCGCCAGAGCGGAGGAGAGCGCACGGGGGTACTTACGCGCTGAGGTCGACCGCCCCACGCAGCGGCCGGGTGGAAACAGCGCGTGCGCGGGACGCAGGCAACCGTCTCTTCAAGGCAAGCTTAGCCAGCGAGAAAATCTATTAATTAATTAAATCAATAAATAAACGCCCCCCTCCATGTAATATCACACCACCCACCACACTCCCGGCACCCGGATGTAGATGGAAGTCAACCGGAAGAAGAAAGCGTTACCCTGTCCTTGGAGCTATATAGAAAGATGTATTTTTCACCTCCGGATCTTCAAACCGCATGCGCAGCAGCTCCCCCTTTGCTACTCCGTTCTCATAAGATGCATGTGCCACCCAGCCCCGAGCGCGGGGATTGGTGATGCTACTGCGCACGTGAGGTGTGGGCGAGCCGGTCTCTAGTGCGCATGCGTCTTTGTCCCTTTAGTTGCTCTACCTTCCTACGGTTATGTACCGGGTGTTGCGCATGTGCATTGTGGGCGGCCGTGCTGCTTTGGGGTGCAGCTGCACACACCCCGCGAGACTGGAGGGGCACGGGGGACACTGAAGTCGTGGTTGTGGCGGCCTGCAACGTGTAGGCTGGCTCGGTGCAGCGGGGAAGCTGCTCTGCGCTGGTTCTGTTTCGAAAGTAGACTGACGGACAGGAGCCCGCCCGGCTGCTCCCGTCTGCAAAGGGGGACAGCCGCTGGCCTGACCCAAGTAGATAATTAGTTGGGGGTGGGGTATACGGGGGGTTGTATGTATGTGCATGTATCAGTGTATATGTATACATTTGTGTATAGGTGTGCATGTGTTTGTGTAAACATGCATACATGTGCATGTGTATCTGCATATATACACAAGCTTATGTGTATATAGGTATGCATGTGTATGTATGCACGCACACATATGAACATATGCATATCTACACACAGTTGTGTGTATATACATACACGTGCATACCTATATGCATGTACGCAGCCTGTCCATCAGCTTGGAGAGTGGCATCCCGCTGGTAAGTCTGTTGGGGGAAGGGCCAGGGGAGGGAAGGGGTGTGGAGGGGAGGGGCAGATAGGTGCCCCTGGGGGTGAGAGTGAGGGAGTGGGGCTGCTGCAGGCACTGCCCAGCTGGGGTAGGGCGGGGCACTGGATGGAGCTGCAAGTGTCTTGTCCAGGGAGCATGGAGGGGTGGGGGATGGATCCCGCTGCTCCATGCATCCCTGGGGGAGCCATGGGAGGCAGGTGCCCCTGGATCTGTGTGGGATGAGGCTATGCTGCTGCCGTGGGCTGGGGCCAGGGTTAGCAGAAGGCTCTTCCCAGCATGTGGGATGGGCCAGGGTTGCGGTCAGGTCAGGTGGTGGAGCTGGGAAGGGGGCTACGGTGAATTTTGGGGTCGCTATAGCCCCCCCTCCCAGTGCTGCTGCCACCTGCCCTGGCACAGCTGCCACTCCTGCTAGGAAAAGCCTGGCCCTAGCCTGCAGAAGCAGCCCGCTTTCACCTCGCACACAGAGCCAGGGGGCACATGCCCCCATGGCTCCCCCAGGAGTGTGTATAGCTGCAGGATCCAGTCCCTGTGCCCCCCAGACAAGCCAGTCATGGTTCTGTCCTGCTCCCTACCCCAGCTAGGCAGCCCCTACCCCAGCCCCACTCCCCTCATGGCAGGGGCTTCAAACTGTGCCCCCATGCCTCTTCCATCCCCCCGCCAATGTCCCCCCAACAGACTTACCAGCCAGATGCTGGGCTGCATATCAGCAATCAGATTGGTGTCAGCTGATATGGCTCATTAGCAATGGCCCATTATTATCGGCCCCAAAAACTCGTATTGATGCACCCCAAGCTAGGATTTGGAGTGTCCTAGACAAATTGGATGATTGGGCCAAAAGAGATCTCATGAGGTTCAACAAGGACAAATGCAAAGTCCTGCACTGAGGATGGTACAATCCCATGCACCAATACAGGCTGGGGGCTGGCTGGGCAGCAGCTCTGCAGAAAAGGACCAGGGGGTTAGAGTGGACAATGAGTCAGCAGTGTGCCCTAGTTTCAAAGAAGACTAATGGGATACTGAGCTGCGTTGGCAAGTTTGTTGCCGGTAGGTCATGGGAAGTAATTATTTCCCTCTATTCAGCACTGGTGAGGCCACATCTGGAGTACCGTGTCCAGTTTTGGGCCCCCCACTACAGAAAGGATGCAGACAAATTGGAGCGAGTCTAGCAGAGAGCAATGAAACTGGTTTTGGGGTTAGGGCACATGACTTCTGAGGACAGGTTGAGGGAGCTGGGCTTATTTGATTTGGAGAAGAGAAGACAGGGGGATTTGATAGCAGCCTTCAGCTACCTGAAGGGTGGTTCTAGACTGTTTTCAGTGGTGACATGACAGAACAAGGAGCAACAGAGATTTAGGCTAGATACTAGGAAAAACTCTAGGAGGGTGGCGAAGCACCAATACAGGTTACCTAGCGAGGTAGTTGAATCTTTGTCCTTGGAGATTTTTAAGGCCTGGCTTGACAAAGTTGTGGCTGGAATGATCTAGTTGGGCATGGTCCTGCTTCAAGCAGGGGTAGGAAACCCAGAATGTCAAAACCATTCTACTCTGCTATGGTCTCCTTGAGTTCACAACAGGAGAAACACTATTATTTTTCCATAATTAAGAAATGGGTAACTGTTACAATGTTCTCCAAGAGTGGGGAATAGAGTCTTAGCAAGGGGGGCCCAAGTTGAGAGCTGCTGCACTAGCACAAAAGGGAGTGCAAAGATTGGAGGGGGGCATGGTCAGGTAGAATAGCTATAAATAGGTTTTTATGCTGGCTTTTAAAGAACAGGTAGGCTGGAGCTATGTTAGGCAGGAGTAGAGGAAAGGTATTGCCTCCCAGCATCTGCAGGTTTCACAGCATTCAGACCTTTCTCAAACAAGTCCCCAACCTCCCTTTACTCTGCTGTATGGGGATGCTATACCAGATGGCCATCTTTCCTGCAGCAGCCACATATGCTGCGTTTTCACCATACTAAGAGCAGAAGCTTATTTAGGTGTTGTCTACATGCATAAATTCTTGTCTTAGCTTTACCTGCATAGTAACAGGCTTACAAGTGTGAATCTTTTTGGCAACAAGAATGTGCTTTAAACTGATGCAGTTATTTCCATAGGACAGGGGGAGAGCTATTGGAAAAAAAAAAAAAAAAAAAAAAAAGGACACTGTTCATGTTACAGGCTTTACCCATCTAAAACAGGTGCTGAACCCCTAGCCCACAGGCCATATCTAGCTTACAGGGTTCCCCGAGCACCTGGAAATTTGGCAGTGGTGGGGCATGGTAGCAACCAGTGCTACCACCACTCCTCCCACCACCACATTTCCACACCCTGTGGGCCAGATGACCCAGTCCTGCATGTGGTATCCAGCCAAGTCTGGGGAGCCATGGCTGGGACAGTGGGCCCAACCCAGTGCATATGGGTCAGGGAAGCAGGGCCCAATGCAGCATGTGTAGGGCAGAGGGACAGTCCAGTGTGCAAGGGTCCAAGTCTGAGGCCAGGGCCTGGACAGCAGATCTAATACAGTATGTGTGGGGCTGTGGCCACATTCACAATATGGCAGGCTTGCACTGGATCCAGCCCTGCACCACTCATCTAGCCCATGGGGCCAAAAGGTTGGGCACCACTGATTTAAAAGAATCAACCCTCTAACTGAAACAGTAATACAGTATATACCTAATCTTTGTTTATTACAAGCCCTAGCTGCTAGTCCCCAATGTTGCTAAGGACCTAAGGGGATTAGCCTTGGTCTCAGGAAGGTGCAGGGTGTCTCCTAAGACTCTATTAAAGGGACTATAAGCAGTGAACTTCCTGATAATCATAGGAGGATCTCTCCAGCTGCAGACTTTACCAAGTCTGCAGAAAGAAGGGAAAGTCTCCTGAGCTTCCCATTCTTTCTACAGCTTCCAGCCCTTTAATTCCATTATTGGTATGTAGCAGGGTCCTCCCCAGGGGTAGCCACAAAGCTCCTAAAGCTCCTTTAGACCCAAATAAAGCAGAGATGACAAGGGCTATCTCCCCTTCAACTCACCTGCCACATCTTGCTGTAATTATACTTTTGCAAAAGGAGGCTGCCCCAGAGCTTCCCAAGCCAGATCTTATGCTCATGAGTATAGCCCTACTTATCACTTTAAGGGTGAATTACATGTCCCCCTCCTCTCCCCTTTTAGTCATGCCCAAGCATCACAGATGTAACCACTCACTAGTTGAGGCCTGTGTCTTGTGCCCCACCTGGGCTCAAGCATTTATCTCAGGGGTGGGCAAAATGTGGCTTGGGGGCTGGATGCAGCCCACCAGGCCATTCTATCTGGTCTGCAGGGCCCCTAAAAAGTTTAGAAAACTAATATTTATCTGCCCTGGGTTGCCTGTCATGTGGCCCTCAATGGCTTGCCAAAACTCAGTAAGTGGCCCTCTGCCCAAAATAATTGCTTGCCCCTGCTCCATCTCCTCCTGCCCATGCCTGAGCACTTCATCCAGCTTGTCTACTCCCAGGCCCTGGGTCCCTGACTGTTTCCACCTCTCAGAGGCACTGGGCCCCTGGGCTGTGGGTCCTTGCCCTTATCAGTGGCCAGCTGTGACCCTTCCTTGATCTTTGACCCTCTGCTCCTGGGCCATGGCCCCACTCCTGTTGAGACCACCACCCTTATAGTTTCAATCAGTATCACCAAACTCACTTACCCCAGCTCAGTATTAATCAGGAGCCCTGCTGCTCAAAAGCTCTTCCTTCCACAGCTCTTGGGGACAGACTACCTGCTCATCTCAAGCCCTGGATTTATCTCCTGCTGGCCCAGGGGCTTTAGGTCATGTGGCTCCTCATTGCCCTCTGCTACACCTGCAGGGCAGCCTACCTTCTCACCAGGGATCCTGGTTTTCTCTGTGTCACAGGGCAGGGACCCAGGAGCAGCCATGATCTCGCCTGGTGCCCCCTACCGTGCCAAGCTGGCAATCAAGCACCCTTGTTCTTGCCAGCCACGTCTTTGATGATATTATGTTTTATAAGGGAGGCTGCCTTCTGTCCCCTTGGACACGGTGCTCTTATTTATCCTGGCCCTTGCTTTCCTAGATTGATTTGGTGCATTCAGCCTTATGGGCTATGCGTGGCTCCTACCATCCCTAATACCACACCCCAAGCCTCTCAGCTGTACCAGATGTTGATGAGTATT